ACGGTTTTTAATATATCAGCATCTGTTTCCGGTAGACAAAATATTGTAATATTATAGAAAAAAATTGATGACCTATTTATTTTGTACGTTAATTTAAAAAAGTTTTTTTCAAAACTAATTATGAGTGGTCCTTATTCAGTAATATACTTTTTTTTCGAAAATCTATTTTTCAGGCATAAGGTTACGATATCAAAATAAAATATTTTTTATATTTTTCTTTTACTAATTATGTTTTTTCGAGTTTTAAGCTTACCAAAGTTTTCAACACCGTCGATTCAATTTTTTCAATATCTCAATATCAAATTTAGTTTTCACTACATTATACTACTCTTTTACATTATATATGAATTTTGCTTAGAATAATGTACGAACTTATTAAGGTGATACATTTATTTTTAATTTTAGTACTCCTTCTTAAGTTATATGTTTTCTGTCTTTGAGTCATTATTTTTTTTTATATTAAAACAATACAAGTATTTATATAAAACTTTAAAATATATTATTAAAGATTGTATATAAATAATATTGAAGGTTGATCGTGATAATAAAAACTTTTAGTTGATTTAATAATAATACTAATAATATAACGGTGGGGGGATGGGATGTATCTCTACCACTACCTATTTGTTCTAAATAATAATATACAGTGTTCATTGAACTTTGTTTTTCCATTTGAATGGACAAATTAAAACAAGAAATTACCTATATACGACTCTTAGGACACAGTCTGTATACAATCCTTATAAATTCTATTGTTAATCGTATTTAAAAAAAAATTGTATACAAAAAAAAAATGTTAATAATAAAAGTTCTTAAAAAATCACTGATATTTTTTTCTAAAACACTTTTGAATTTATTTTAAATTTCGCGTCCAACTATATTTCGTGCTTGATGAATTTTATTTTTTCTTCTACAAATAGTATAGCATCAGTAAGGCATAAGTTTGAAGATTCTAATTTTGTTATTTAATTTGGTAGCGATCCAAAGTTTGATTTTATATAAATTTAATTTAATTTGTTTGAAATAAGTTGGTCGATTTCTGGAATATTTTTTCTGATTTCTTCCTCAACCCTATGTAAAGTGTGAGCCAATTAGGTTATATGTTCCAATTCTGAATAAAATACTTTGATGGCTTTACTTGCTTTGATCATATGTGGTGCAGCATCACTTAATAAAAGTAATACATGATCATGTTTTGTACCATTTGGCCAAATAATTTGAAGTAATCTATCGAAAAATTTAGAAATTGTACTATGATTTACCTTTTCTAAGATTTCAGTATTTATTTTATCTATTAAATCTATTTCTTCTTTCTATTTTAATTGACATTCTAATGAATTTAGTAAATATGATTATAATAAAGTGATGACCTTTTATAATGTGATTTAATAATATTGAAAAGTATACCAAATCATTCAATAAACTGGGAGCACTTATTACCTCAAAAAATATTAATTTGTTCGGAATTTTTTTTTTTTATTTTAAGAAATACAAAGCTCTACACTTTAAATTCATGTCATTTTCAAATAGCAACCAATACTAAAATGTCCATATAGAGTATTAATTCAAATATATTTTGGTGTTGATAATTTTGATTTCCATCAAACCTTTGACGAGATATTTAATTTTAATTTTGGATAGGGAGAGAGTAGTGGTACATTGTTTAAATGCAAACCGTGTCACTACACAAACAGCATGGCTACTCAAAAATTTAAAATAAAACGTCTCATCAATGGTTTGATGGAAATCAACAATTTCAACACCATAATATACTTTAATTAATCCCTTAACTCTGTCTATTTATGGAATTTTTAGTAAAAGTTGTATTTGAAAATCAAAAGTATATAGTGGTTTTATCGCTAAAAATAAGAGTGACAAAAAATAATATAAATGTAAAATTGTAGAGCTGCTTGTTTCCTTAAATACAACATTTCCAAAGAAAGTTAAAACTTTTACGTAATGAGTGTTCCCAATAGAGTGAATAACTCTGTTTGTTAGTCTGACTCAATTTTGCTATTCTAAATTGTTTCAAATAATTTCTCTATGATTTTAGAAGATTTTTTCTTTTAAATGTAACATTTTTTTTACCTGCAGATATATTACTGTAATAAAAATATTAATTGTGAAATTTAGCAAAATTTAAAACTATAGGTACTATAAGACTATTGTTATTTTACTAATTGGAAACAATAAAATAGTAATAATTGGGGGAAAAAAAATGTTTTAGTCATTATTAGTTAAAATAAAATAAGAAATTTCCATTAAATATTAAGGTCACATGAAACAACTGAAAATAAAAATAAAACTAATTAAATAAGATCGTTGTTATTTATCAACCTTGAATGCAGTGTTAGTTAATCTAAGTTTGCGTTCCGATAATGGAGTCAGAGTCCATGGATATCTAGCCTAAATAAGTCTACTATCTATTCCAAGCCAAGCACAATATTTTGTCGAGGGTGGCAGCGAAGATATGGTCATTGCTGTATCATGAGAGTTTTCTAATTCATGTTGCTGTAGACAAACATTTAAAAATACTGTAGATAATATAAACACATCAAAAAATGAATTGAATTTATTTATAAAAATTGGGATGAACCAAATCTATACATATAAAATCCAAATACCACTGACTGACTGATCGCTGTATCTCAAAAACTACTCAACGTACGGACTTGAAATTTGGAATAGAGGTTCTTCTCATATTTGCACTGTGCAATAAGAAAGGATTTTCAAAAATGTTGCGTTTTAGTGGAGTAATTAATGATTATAATTATTCACTGCCAATACGTATTGTGCGGCACGGCGGCCCGCGGGTTTCCAGCTACCTGCAACCTATCTTTTTTGTTCGTAGTCGTCGTCGTGTAGATAAGAATAATAATTCCGAGAATAAAATTGTTCCGAGAAATTTATCGATAAAAATAATCTCATGCATCGCGCGTACATCAATACTCCTATTTTATTATAATGAACGATAAAATGCACACCGATAACATAAACCAATACACATACAAATTCTTAGAATTAATTTGGATATTAGGTTATTATGTATATTATCGATAATTATGAATTTAAGACGGTAAATGGNAATACATGGCGTTATCTAATTTGTCACGAATTTGTTTCCGGGCAACGCCGGGTAATTCAGCTAGTATATGTATAAAAAGAACATCTTAGCCACTGATAATAGGTTCTGGGTAGACAACTGCTATAATAAAAAATAATATAATAATAATTTATACATTTTTTTCTTTCATTATATTCTGTTCCTTCTTATTGGAAATAAACTGCATATTATGTACATAATTAGGGCCCTAATTTTTATATATTTGCATGTTTTTTTTATTTTTTATTTTATTTTTTTATTTTAAACTACAAGTTTGAATTATAGTCAATTGGATTAGAAATACAAAGTTTTAGTTTGCATTTTTCAGTAATCTAACGAAACAGTTGCTAATCTGGATTTTTCCAGGTAGTTTTTTTGGTAAGGTGGTTAACCTACTTCATTGACCACCTCGTCTAGAAGACAGGATCCTTTTCGTAGTGCTAGATATAAGTATTTTCGCGGATTTATTTACGACTTGAAACTAACACATAAAAACTCTCGTGTATTGGTGAGTGTCGGTAATTCCCCAACGAATTTATATCCAGCGAGGAAACAGAACTACGAGCGGTGTTATCGAGTATCGAAATAGTCACTGGAATAAGTCACAAATAAGACCGATTCGCGTTGCGGCAGCGATGAGTAATGCACGACGGTGGCTACAGTAACGATGGAGCTTAAAAGCCAAACAACAATAATATTCCGTCGATTTTTTTGATTAATAAAATACCGCGTCCAACGGCGTAACGGCAAACGGTTACCGGGACCGTAATCGGATTCCTATGGACAAACACGATTGTTGGCGTACACATTACGAAGAAAAAGGGGCTAAACGCCGGGCGCATGGATACCACGACGAAGTAGCAGAAGCAACTGGTGACCGGATGTGGCCAGGCAAAGGTTCGTGCAGCCGGTGGAGGGCAGGTAAGGCCGCTCGACGAAATGGTAGATTACGTGGGTCGGTGACCTGGACCTGGGCCGCTACAAATACTTTTGTATTAACTCATCATTAAGTAAATCTAATCTAAAATGTATAAACTAGGTATTTAAAATGTGGTTTTTTTTAAAAAATAAGGTGTAAGAATACTTTCATGAGTTTTGTTTATTGAAATAATAATTATTTCCTGTTTCCAACGTTCAGTTCACGTTATAATACTTTCCTGTCTTTGTGAATAGCTTTACATTTATCAATAATGATCACGAAATCTAAGTTCTTACATATTTTTTTCCCTTGATAAAATCGTTATACTTGTAGCCAACTTTTTTTATCTAAATTTTAGTGTTAAGCAAAAAGTTTAATATTTGATAAATTTAAAAATATTTAAGTAGGAGGAAAGGAGTTAAATATATTAAAGCCCTCCCTCCTATTTGTACGATCTATAGCAAATGCTTATTTTTATAAAATGTATAATAGGTCCATTTGCTCTAAACTTAGCCAAAAAATACAATTGTGAACATTTCAAATATGCCTTTGTTATTTCTAGAATTATTACGTGTAGACAGATGGAGAAAACAAATGTTAGTAGGATCCTTTAACTAGTACAAATATATGGAAATTTATCAATAATTATATATGTACTTGAAAAAAAGTACATAATTTTCAGGCATTTTTTATTTAAGGGTGGGTATACAAAGACAATAAGTTATAAATATGAACTATAGATTATTATCGATTATATTTATGTATTTCAAAATAATATATTATAAATAGTATAGCATAATAGTATAATATGCAATCATAATATAAATATTAAATATATAGTATGTTTAAAAAAAAAAAAAAGAGGAAAAAAATAATTCCAAACAATCTTCTATTTTTATTAAGTTTTGATTAATAATAATAAGGATATTATATTGATAAAAAATTATGATATAATATAATAAGTTTATTATAAAATAAATTAATATAACTTATAAATGATGAGTGCCCGACAGAGGTATTGTCATTTTCAGAATCTCCGAATTTTGAATAATTAATTAAAAGTGTGTGTAATGATTAATAAAACGTAGTATAAAAGCTATAATGATATCCTATATCCTTCAACGTGGAGAAATTTATGTTGGTAATTTAACAATACAGCAGAGTAGTTACCTATAGCGTTGCAAAGTTTCGTAAGTATATGGAGAAGAAAAACACGGGATTTGTATAATAGATAATGCAACTTATTGCCAAAAAAAAAAAAGTAGACAAGATTTGTAAAACTAAACACTGACGGAGAATTTTTAACGATCATTACGCTCGGCCGGAGTTGTAATTTTGGGTACTACATAGCCATCGGTTTAAATTCGTTTCCGTCTGCCGACAACCTTGACTGATCGTGGCTGTCGATTTCGTTATTATTGTCTTTAACGTTGCTGTCATTCATGGGCACCATAGATTCATCTTTGGGTGCATTATTCCTGTAACCCAACGAAAATCGCAAGTTGAATAATTTTTAAGTGTACATGTTTCTTAATGCTTTTTTTTTTTGGAGATGGGGGGAGTTTTTAATGAGAGCGATATGCGAACGCTCGTCTGGCCTATTCGAATATTAATATCAAACGTGGACTGTAGATATAAACATATTAATGCAGGAGTACATTATTAATACTTATAACTAGTAATTTCGTGTTTTAAGTATGGGACGCATGTTAAAACCCAAAAAACTATTAAACATATAATCCACGGACCATATTTTTTCGAAAAAAATTTGTTTAGTTTTATTTTATAAATAATTATCATATTCTCATAAATAATTGATGAGCTGCCATAGTTACTAATTATAAGATAATAAAAAAAAAAAAACGGACAACTATTTATGGCACTACGTTTTCATAATAATGGATTAGATTATTTTATGTGGGTTCTTCAATCTAACCTAATCTTTACATTTTTGTAAACGATGTATTCTAATAGGAATATGATCCAATAGAAAAACGGAAAGAGATATTTTTTTTGCATTTTGAATCTTGTTCTTTATGAAGAAAGGTATTTTTTGGTTTGCCAAAAAGTTTTCATATAATTATAAAAAACCAAAAATTAAAACTTAAATTTGTTTTAAATTTTTACGAAGTTTGACAAAGTGTTTTCATTTATTTATACTTATACACATCAGGAACATTTTTATTTGTAAAGAAAATATTTTGGCAGAATTGGCGGTAGCATTTTTAATTGTTATTATAAATTCAATCCAAATACCTAAGATTACAAAAAAATATAGATGTATTATTTTTTATTAGTTCAAAAAGAGGGGGAGAAATTAGGTTGACTGTCCTTCCAAACTTGAAAAATTTGCTTAGGTAGGGGGTCAACTTGCAAATGCTTGCTAATCATAATGAATTGAACGATATCAGTTTCAAACGCGTTGGTAAAAAAAAGGTGGGTTTTGAAAAGTTAGTTCACCTTTTTGAATTTTTTCGTACATGAAAATAATGACTTGCAAATTTTTTAAACCTAACTTGATAATTAATTGCTAAATGATAATATGGGTTAGATTTATTTGAGAGAAAACGGATGGGCCATCTTCATGGCCATGTGTAATGTAGTATTTTTGTATTAGAAGAGTTTTAATTTTAAATTTTGTCGAAAATCGTAAATATTAAGGTTCTTCAAAACATTTTTAACCAAATTTTGCTCCAAATCGTTTTTTGTTACAGTTATAATTTTATCCACTTTATAACTTTCATCCCACCTTCCCAACTTTTCACCTACAAGAATTGCATACCCGTCTACGTTATCATTTTTTTTATTATAATTTTCACCTTATATGCCCCCTTAGGAAGTATAAAGTTCTTTCAATTAGCAGAATTTTTCCTGCAGAGTAAATTTGAAGATTACCAGTTAAGTTTTATTTAAATATTAATCCTTTTAAAATGTTTACTAGTTATATTATTAATTATATAGAATTATACTTTACAAATAAATATAATTTTTAACAATTTCAAAAATGTTTCATTTAGATTGGTATGACATCTTCAATCATAAAAATTGTTTTAGCATTAAAATAATGTCCTACGAGGCTACGTTCTTTGTGGAAATAGGCTTTAAGCATAAGCTTTTGGAAATTTGTATTAGTTCAATAAATGTATACTAACGAATAGTTGTGGTTGTTCAAAAACAATGATTTAGGACATTCCTTAAAGTACGGAAAACATTCTTTATGTTTGCCCGTGGTTTCAGCAGTAACGTATTCATCCATTAAATCAGCGTATTTAGATCTGCTGGCCCTGGAAAAAAAAACTTCTGTGATTATATGAGTTAGATAAAAATAGCACTCACAGCACAAATTTAGGGGGAAAGGTAAACTCCAATTTCTAAAAAGGAATTATTTTTGTTTTAATTAAATAATAACTATAAATCATTTTTAACAGTACTTAACATAAAATATAAACCATTATTAGCATTTTAACATTTTGAATATAAATAGTAGTTATCTATGATATTTTCTATATTCTGTTAAAATTTAGGGAGGTGTTGTTTTTTTGTCCTTCCCTCCTGACGGGCGTTTATGATATTATTTTACTTAAGAAAATATAAATTGGAACAATTTGATGTATCATGCGAATGCAATTTAATAATATTTAAAATGTTTCAACTTATAATAAATCAAGCAGGTATTGTGCCTATAATTAAACTCGCGTCAATAAAATTAGAAACATAATTAATGAAGTTAGATGAATCGAAAAATGATTTACTGATTGACACGTTAAAAATATATTATTTTATGAAGAAACTAATTTAAGATTAAGGTAATTTAAAAAAACATTAATTTAAGTTGAGTTATTTTGTTTTGTTTTTTGTAAAATATTGGTTTTACTATGTGTTCTTTTTTTTTCTATTATTTTTGTATTCTTTCTGTGAACAACTTTTCGAAAATAAGCTCTGATGTATATGCAGTAAGTAACTACAGCACCTTTACTGAAATGTAATTTTCTTTCTTCGGTACATTGGAAAAATTTTTTTTCGATACGCCAATGGGTTTTCAAAATAATTGGGAAAACCCGAAAGAAAAGTATAGGTAAAATAGCAAATATTTACGGCGTGCTGCGGCATTATTGGCTTCATTGTTTTTATTATGTTAACACGATGTTTTCTACCAGAAACATTACTTCAATCGAAAAATAACTAGAGACCTCTTTTGATTCATTTTTAATGCAATTCATGAGCAAGCTATTCGTTTTTGTTTTTCATAGTAGTTTTATAAATAATAAGGAAAAACCCGAAAAAAAAAACGTAAAATGAAAACGATATGATTGTTACTATGTTGAAAAATTTGAAGTTGATAGTTGTACATTATAGTACTTACGTTAGGAACAATTCCAAAAACTCGCCGAGGAAACCAAATTTATCTAAAGCTGTGTGGCTGTGAACTTCACAAATAGCTCGAAGCAGACACGCTTTTCCATCCATACCGAAATTCGCCAACATGTCTTCGATGATGGTGTACAACAAAGCTCTGAAAAAAAACTCGTTGTGGTCAAGCTAGGTCAAGTAAGGTTATGATGGTAGGTATAAATTGAAGATATAAACATAAGTTATAATACAATATTATTTTTTCTATACCCGATGAACCACCAGGAAATCTCTTGGTGGTTTAAAGATAGCTGGTAATCCCATAAAATTCATTAACCGTGCATTTTATTTTCAACAAAAGCAGAAAAAAAACATCATCCGATTGTAAAGACAATAACTTTCAAAACCACTTGATCAAAATCGTATGTATTTGATCAAACATTTCGAATTATCTACCAACAGTGACAATTTGGTTATTTATTATAAATAATATAAATATATTATATTATATACGATAATGCTCTTTTCAACAAATGTTTGTTTATTTACTTATTAATTATCGAATGATCCACATTATGAGTAACTAGCAAAATATCAATTTATTAGGAGTTGGGAAGACAATTGTCAGATCTACAAATAAAGGTAAAAACATCCGAAGAAATATTGGTGACCCTATAAGTCACTAATTATTTTTTTCCATGCATATTATACGTACAATTTGCGCTCCCTAATATGACTAGCATCAAGGAGAATTTTCTGGATTACCTTCCTTTTTCTTAGATCTGATGCCAATTGAGACCTTGTAGGACTTGTATACAAAGAAAAATATAAAACGTTTTTAAAACAAAAAAAAATTAGTTGTTAATGTAAATCATAATATTGAAATTATAAAAAAAAAAAATAGTTTTATCTTTTACCATATTAATAGGTTACATTTTTGTTAAATAATGACAGTGAAGCGATACAATTTTGAATAAATAAAACAATATCTCTATATCTTCTTTTCTAATTCACAATGTTTATTATAGCTATGGCCTGAACGGTCATGCACTAACAAAAACTAAACTATCAAAATATGCATTTATTTTTTTTAATTTAACGTAATATACTCAATTTAATCAAGACGAAATATGTTTCATTTTATTATTTACTTTAAGAATTGTAGTTTAAAACTAGGGGTTATTATAATTTCAATTATACAATTTTTTTTTTAAATAAAAACGAAAAGCGGTTATCAGCCATTATATTTATATAAATAGAAAAGCTCGGTTCTAATGAAATAGATTGAAGCACGCCATGATAAATGTTCGTCACTGATGAAATAGACGTATACTTGAAATATGTGAAATCACTAATTGGATAATTCTGGAAGACTGTTAATTGCTGTTTCTTCTCGTGACATGATTTTTGGAATTTTTAGAAAATGTCTTAAATACCTCGTTTTTCTCGCCTGTTCATATTTATTGTACATTATTGAAATAAAATTGTTTTCAATTTATTTTTGTAATTTTTTGTCAATTTGGGCTGTTTCTCGAGTTTCTTAATAAACATGTAATGGCTGATAAGAAATTGATTGACTATTCATTTTCATGCAGACATATTTTTCATCAAATAAACATTTTATGATACCAAATGAATCTACTACATTTTTACGACATATTATTTATTGCTGGAAAATTAAAATAAATTATATTTATGCAGTCAAATAAATAATTTTTCTTTAAAATATCCATATATTTGTAAAAATCCATGAAATACGCGAAATTAAATGTCATTTTTGAACTCATTAATTGATTATAGCATCATACTAGATTATAGTAGATTATCTTGCCATTTTTTGTTGTACTTAGTAAAAATATGCAAATGCATGAACTTTCAGGCCTTAGTTATAGTTAATTTATAGACAGTTACGCGCGTAAAATGAGAAATTTTAATTTATTTCTGTAATACACTGTAAGACAATGCATGACCTTTTATTCCACAAAAATATATTATTCAGAGTTAATTTGATTTCGGCAAAAATGCGGTTTGCACATCTGCGGTAAATACCTTTTTTAGTGGCACTTGCGGTGTTACTCATTTTTTTTTATACCAGCGAACTGGTTTAACAATATTGTCATTCATCTTATTAGTAATAAGAATATTGGTTTATCTCTCTACAAACGTTTTAAATTAGAAACTGAGCACAGGAGCGAACGCGGGGGAGAATTGGGTTTTAAACATCCCCCCTTTCGAAATATCAGAAACAAAAAATAAATTACCTGACTTACAAATACTAATAAATAAATTTAAAAAAATGATTAGTTATTTATTAACAATAATAATATAATATAATAAAATAATATAATAATTATTAGTAATTATTAGTTTTTTAAAAGTTTTCCGGGGTTTGTAAATTAGCGTATACAATAAAATTATCATTATACTGCATCGTACAGTATAATGATAAGGATATATTATAAATTACTGATTGACACCGGTCACCGCTATGGTGATTCGATGATGTACGTAATGTAGACGAGTGTAATAAATTATCGTCGCCACCAATATATAACGGAAAATTTCCAATGACCAGTACTATCTAGAATATAGATAATTCTAGAAATTTCATTGTACAATATAAACTACACGTCTACACCGCTAACGAATACACCGACATATCTTGTTGTACCACTATTCACTAATTTTGATTGACGTATTGTTATGATGGCGTAATATTAAATGCAAATACAAAAATTCAAAATGAGTTTAATTGTAAAGTTTTTTAAATCACAAAATAAAAATATCATCTAGGTTCCGATTGATGTGGGATTCAGACAAATTGTCCGTAGACAGTCCATCAACTAAAAGAAAACAATTCGAAATGTCACAATCTGGTACAAATCGTAATGTGAGTTATTGTTAACTATCTATAAAATGATTTATTTAGTTTTGAATTCTGTTATTATAATATACCCACACAGTATAATAAGATTTCCTCAAATATGAAATAATAAATTTACATGACGATGATATTAATATTAAAAAACACGATTTTTTTTTTTTATTGACAAATTGTAATAATTAATTGATATGTGTGTATAAATACTATAAGGACCTAAAATAAAAAAGTAATACAGTAATACTTTTTCAAAAACCCCCAAAATATTTGCCTGCGTTCTCCACCAGCTGAGCATAAAGACTTATTGTATGATTGACATTTGTTGAACATGAAAGCAATAAAACGAAAAAAATATTAAATGGATATTAAAAATAGAAATGATAAATATTAAAATCATACGAAGAGGACAGAGAACTCAAAATAATTTCTAAAAATTCTTTTATCAAAAAGATTGCTTAAAATAAACTTTAAAATAATAACTAACATATTTTAACAAAATTAAGACAAAATGTATGGAAATTAATTACTATAGTAGGTAATATAATCATTTTTTTTAAATAAATATTCTAAAAAAACTTTTTAACATGATAGTAAATATCACATTTTTACCTATTGCCAGTGTTAAACTTGGAAAAGATGTCCTAGGATAATAGGATTATATTTTCTTTAATAATATTTGTTTAATATTGTACCAATTTTCCCAAGTTTCCTACGTTTTTCCCAATTTTCCCGTGTTTTATCTCGGTATTCACATTTGCTGAGAAAATCGAAAAATGACCTCTTTAAAGCACTCCTGAGTGAAATTTCCTTTTAGGAAAATTGTTCACAGAAAAAAAGAAGGCCTTGTAAAAAAAAATATATCATTGTGAATCCAATAGATACATTCTACACGCTACAATCAGAATCCAGTATTTAAAATAATAAAATCATTATGTCATAATTTTAAAAAATCAAATGTTTCTTCTTTTTTTGGTTTTTTCCAATTATAATGAAATATACTTAACATACCAAAAAATAATTTTCTCCATCTGTAGCGAATTATTAAAATTATCTCTTGTCATTTTTTAATCAGAATAATATTTCTGGTAAAAAACATCGTGTAAAGATTATAAAAACGGTAATTTCGCCGCTCCAAATCTAAAACAGAGTGACCGCAAATGCTACAATAGCATAATGACAGCAAATATGCTGACAGTTTTTGTTTTCACGCGATTTTATTTATAATTTTTTTTGAAAGATGAAGATTTTTTATTGTGCATTAGACATTGATTTTAAAAATTAAATTTCCAAACACTATAATCATTGACTGTAAATGACCAAATTATTACTATTATTTTGAATATTATTTTTTTTTTTTTTTGTAGTTTTTCGTTACATAATCAAAATAAAAGTCCAATGTGCCCTGTAGGAAGTTATCCTCTTCATCCTTTGAGGCACATTGTTTTTGAAAATTTTCTTGGGAAAAATTTAAATTTAGCACTTATATTACATATAAAAAAGAAACAAATTTAGGTGGTTTCACTATAATAACACAATGTTTCAAAGGAATAAAAAAAAAATATATTAAAATCGGACGTTTCTAAAAGGCCAGAAAGTTAACCATGTAAATAATGTTTTGAGCGAAAAAAACAGATTAGTACAAAAATTAAATGTATTTTGTATTATAGTATTTTTTGGTAATAATTCTCAATAAAAAAGAAAACTAACTCGGCTAACTTTGGACATTGGACACTTTAAAGATAAATGTCAATAATTTAAAAAAAAAAAAAACACGTTCAGGCAACTTAAGAATATTTTATATTTACATATTAGATTATAATAAATAGCATTTGTATGTATACAAGTATAATATGAATTACCTTTCACCGCCATTAAAGTAAGAGTGTATTGGTTTGGGTAAAGTCGGTACTGATCTAGTTGATCTAATCGATCTCCGGTTGCCCATATAATCAGCTAAATAGTCGGTGAGCATTGAGCCCATGGTACCGCCCAAGCTCCTTGCGAATAACGGCGGAAAAGCGCCGAATGGATTCTGATTGTCAGTTAATCCCAGTTGGTCGAATTGAACTGTAATGAAAATGTATTGATACATATTATAATATATACGAAACACATGATTATAATATTATTTTCATAATAGTCTAATAATATTGGACGACTCCAAATATTTGGGATGAAAGCGAAGGCGAAGAAGATATACAGAGTGATTCACTAAGTGTCTACACCCCATTTTTTGGTTAAATTATGCATATTATATTTAAATTCTGATTTTTGGAATTTTTAAGTGTAGTTAAAGCCAATATTTTCGAATACTTAGATTTCCCACTACATTTAAGGAGTATCCTATAGTGATACCAACATTGGTTTTTCAAATCAGAACCTGTAGGTATTAATAGTTCCATAAATAGACGGAGTAGTACTTTAAATATATGTTGGTACTAAAATGTTTAATTTCCATCAATTCATTGACGAGATATTACACTTTTAATTTAGGTAGGGGGAAGAATTCTTTTGGAACACCAATAAAACGCTACACGCCATGCTGCCATACAAATCATACTCCACTACTCTCCCCTTACCTAAACTTAAAAATGTGATTTCTTGTTAATGAATTTCATAGAATTAATAATGTGTAGGTACTAAATAATCGAATTAAAGTTTTTTATTGTATCTTTGTATTATAAGTTATAACATTGTGATATTAATTATTAAGGGATTATGAGTCAAATTAGTTAAATCATAGTATAACTTCACGGGTCGGTGAACTGATTATTTAAGGTGGTGATTGTCTATAATCAAATCAAATATCATTTACTACACCACGGAATGCGTGCACATTCATAAAACTTGTTATATTTATATAACACGGATAATCACGGAGTTATCAATTATTATGAGATAAAATTTTGAGTTGATATTTATACAAGGTAAGTAGATACAGTGGCGTATCTATTATAGGGCAAACTGGGACAGTTCCCCGGGGCCCTAGAGCTCACGGGGCCTTGAGGTCCTTGAAGAATAATTCTGAAATTACTTCTTCAAAATAATTTCAAATGTTGATGTACCTATTTAATAGGTAATTATCAAACAATGGCATAAACGATCAAACTAAATATTAAATAAATTTGTCAGCTCCCGTAGTTTCGAGTTTTTCCTTGCCGCGTAGTGTCGTTATATAATATTTATTTAATTTAACAAATTTTTTTAAATTTAAACAATGAGTAGTAATATAGATAATGCGTTTTTGGCATTGGCACTATGTATGATGAAAAAGAAAAAAGGTCAGCAATGGTCTAGAGACTTGAAATTACGGGATAAATATACGCACGAAAATTTGTTACGGGAAATATTGCGCACAGAACCAAATGACTACGCAAATTTCCTGCGCATGGACCATAAAACATTAGAAGATTTATTATCATTATTAAGTCCTCACATACACTCTTTTCAAGCTTGAAAGTTGTGCGTAGAATATTAATTTTTTTTTTAACATCTTCTTCAGTGATGTTTTGGCTACACACTTTTAACAATTCCGTCAGTTTTTTAATAGCATTAATCCTCTTGTTTGTATCCATGTAGTTTTTTGATCAATTATTATAAGCGTTGTAATATTATTTACCGTATATTTAGATATTGTATAGATTATCGTCAAATATAACTAAAACAACTAACAATTAAAGGGATTGAATATCGATATTTTGTTTTTCATTGTTCAACGTGTTATATTACATACAATATGGCAATTTCAACAGATTTTTTCAAATCGTTCCTACTTTAGATTTTGTCATTTTTTTCAATGTATAATATTAGTTATTTTTATAGAATTTTGAATCAAATTTATGGACTGAAATTTGAAAAAATCTAGATTGATTTTTATGTACAATTTATACGAAGTTCAAAAATTGTTTCATTATTATGCATTTGACAGTTTCAGTACACTGTATAATGTATACTGTAAACCGTATAACTTCATGATATACATATCGAAATTGCGGGTATTAAAAACAAAACCTTTTTTTTGTATGCGTATGTAAGTACACAAAATGAATTCCGTGTCAAATATAGTGTATTGATCGGTTTCAGAGAATATGTTTGCTAAATATTTGTATATTTATTTGTATATTTTAAAAATAATTATACTGCAGATAACTGAATCCTAAAGTCAACAAATAATAATTAAATGACAACAGCCACTAATAGCGTGAATACAGGAATATTTAGTAGACCTAGTTACAGCTCCGGAATTTTTGGGGCTTGGGTTATGAGGGTTTTTTGCTATTTTATTGAAACTGTTTTCTAAAAAGAAAAAACTATACGCTGCCACTGATAAAAGCATCCTCCGTTTTATATTTTTGATAGTCCTGTTAAACTCTGTATACTATTGTTTCATCATTTTAAATATTAACATCCACTACCACTGATTTTCAATATATTTGCCTTGACATTCATAATAATGTTCATTATTATTCACCAGCCGTGACTGGTAGTAGGTAGGCAATTTTTGTAAGGAGTACATAAAAAAAAACGTCATCGTATAGGAATTCACTTACTTGTAAACGGAAAATCAATACCCATCATTGACTTGAAGCCTGCCGGTGGGTTCCTGACGAACGGAAATGATAACGTCGGCATAATAGTCAAGGTGGTACCGGGTGGCAAAGCCAGACGGCCGTCCGACGTGATCCACAGTAAGCGTTTCTGCCGGGAGTGAGGCGTGTTGTTCTGCATAGATAACTCGCTGTCGTAGATATCGTCTTTCGCCGTAACGATACTGTTCCCAGGAGATGTGGCATGTAACGCGACCGCCAACAACAAACATGCTCTCGATAAATTTGCCATTCCTAGAAGTTACAAAAAATTCTTATACTAATTTCTTATTCTTATACAGAAAAATGCCGACAATTGGTTTTGCTGAAATCAAAGAAAATCAAGAGATTATTACCCTATAGTACTACAGAATATATGCTTTATGAAAAATGCCATTCATGTTTTAAAATATCGAAATGTGGCCTAAAACATAACTTAAAAATACATACAAATATATATATATATATATACAGGGTGATTCATTAACGTGTTCACTCCATTTTTTTTGTTAAATTTCTGATACAGTAAAATTTTCATTTTCAATATTCATTTCAATTGTTTATTTAAATGAATATTTACAATCTGTACTAAGGGGCACACCGTTTTTATGAACGAAAGTCCTTAGTCTGTATAAGGCGGGAAGAAAAATAATAAGTGGTTTTTAATTATTATTAGGGATGCAACTCGGATAAAATATCGTTTTTGAAAGTAAGTTGCATACGCATATGTTTTGACCCGGTTTCTGGTCACTCCATACTGACTCAGCCCGGAATTTAGTAGCGAAAATTCATAATTAAAACTAAAAAGATAATCAATTTTTAAGATCTAGATTTGTGTGAATGTACAATGTTTATTCATTCATTAATTCGTTGTTTTTTGTTTTTTTTAATATTATACATTATAAATATAGTTTATGTCCATATTACTCCGAGTTTCTACGTTAGAACAATGTATTTTAAATAATCATCTATTTCCCTCACCTCATCCCCTTTACTGCAGCGGGTGTCAAGACATATAAGATGTATTTTATAACTGAAAAAAAGTTATATAAGTTACATAAAACTTGTTTTAAAAGGAAATAGTAGTTTTACCGTTATCCGGTTAGGTATCCGAAATTATTCAAGGTCAAAACGGACGAACACAATAAAATGTAAAGATATTTACGAACGTTTACGTCTATTAATTTATAGGTCTATACTCTTTTTTTTTTCACCGCATTAAACAGGATTAGAAAAAACGACGTACCTATCAACCAGCAAAGTAGTATAGATGTAATTATAAATATTCCATATGAGAGTACCAATAAAAAAAAAAAAAAAAAACATAAATCGTTTCATATTTCAAAATTCCTCATACCCATTGCTTTGTTTCTTTTTTTTTTTATCTGGAGAAAGTTTTAAATTTAATGTGACTATACGATATAGTCTGGTATGAAAAAAAAAAAACGACGAACCACACATTCTTTCGAAGATTATATCGTAGAAATTAAAATGTAAATTATTTACATTATGATAATATATAGGTATTATATAAGTCAATGGACCACTGCAGAAGTAGGTAGTATAGTATATAGATGGTAGTTTCTATAGTCTTTACCAAATTAAAACGATTAATGTTTTGGGGTATTTATATGTAACTGCTGCATATAGGTCAAGGTGAAACGCAAGTTAGAGTGTAAAAGAAAACCATGATATTTTTACAGTCAGCTAATTAAAATATAAAATACCATTATAAGGAAAAGTGATCCGTTTTAGTACAAAACTATATACAGTAGTTAAAGTGGGAAGAATTTTGAAGAGGAACTATATTTAGGTATTGAAAATTGAGGGACATTCCCAAGAACTAACTAAACCTAATTACATTTTTAAGAAACTCATCATGAATACAAGACTTTTCAAATGTTTTTCTCTTTTACACACATTTGTTTATAAAAATATTATACCTATAGGGTTTAAGTATAAACTTCAGACCCCCCCCTTCAAATATTATTATACGCAGTACGTACAATCTAATATAGGTATTAATTAATGTATTTTTAATATTTAATTCAATTTTTTAAAAATGTCTCAGCGATAATAACTAAAACATTCCCCTGGGACTTCATAAACTTAAATTAAAGAGGACTGATTTCTTCTTATGTCAAGCAACTTTTTAAAACAGAATAAACTATAACTAACAATAAATTCTATTAGTATAAATAGTATAAGTAAATATAACTAATATAAATTACGGCACACTCTGGTAGTTTCATCGGTATTGGCTATAAAAACACATAGTCTTCACCCAGTACTGAGCTACGTCAATGGCCTTTGGTTCGCTTATATGAGATCTTTTTCGGAACAAGAAAAGGGGTACAATGAAGAAACTTCTATGTGGCACACCATAGGCAACTGTATTATCCTAACTGATAACACAGGCTAATTCTTCAACTTCAGGCAACAACAAAAATTATGTTAAACAGAAGAGGACTGATAATTAAACCTTAAACAAGAACTAAAATTTCATCCTCTTACTTTAACCACTGGCTATATTGAGAAACACGTGATTAATGTTATTTATAGAAAATTATAAATTATTTATATATTGTCACGACTGGCGTATAGTTTGTTCTCGTATATGATTATGGCATTAAATCTTTCATTGATCTCGGGAAGTTAGGGTTAAATCAATTTTTGATATTTCGTTTGAAATTATATGTTTTATAATTGTACTTTAAAGAGGTTATTTTTCAATTTTCTCAGGAATTTTCTTATAAAATTTGAAAAATCAAATTAAAAACTTAATTTGCTTGAAAACTTTACAAAATTCTTTTATTTTCTTTCCACTTTACTAATTACGAACTTGATGAACCAATTTTCCGCCTTAGTTCTACTGCAAAGTCCAACCCATATTTTAGTTAAATTTTGGAATTTTATATTTTTGGTTAAGTACATAATATGTAAATTATGTATATTCTGCTATATTTATTTTTAATAATTTTACAGTTCTAAATTGTATACATTTTGTATTTTATAATTTAAGGTATTTAATTTTAGATTTTCGAATATCTCTGGTTTCGAACATTCGAGACCAATAACTATTTATTTTTTGATATATTCAGGACTCCTGTTTGTAATCTTACATTTAAATTCGATAAAACCACAGGCTGACATTGGTTCGTCAGTAATCATTCAATAATCGGCATATCAACTACACTAGAAAAAAAAGTCTCTTGTTTTTTTTCTGTTGGAGCAATATTTCTGGTAGAAAAGTAGTAGTAGTTTACAGACAAAAAAAAAAAAAACACTTATCGTAAAACCAATAAATTCCTCGCTTCGCTCTGAATATGATAAAATGCTTAACGTTTTTTGAACATAATTTTGCATATTTTGATATTTTTCGTTTTGAAGGGCATAATATTGTACGAGTAGATACTAAGAACATATTTTAAGTTTTTAATTAATTTGATAATATTCAATCGAAAATCAAGAACTTCGGTAAATATTTTCCCTAAAATCAGAAGTTGTAAAACATACAAATTTACAAAAAAAAAAAAAAAGAGCTGGTACTGGGAATGATGCCACAGTTGTAGGGGGGTAGCGAGGAAGGTGGGATACATAAAGTTATTTCATTTATATCCGTAAGCAACGATAAACCATTGCTGACGAAAGATCATTTTAAGCGCAATTTGGTAATACATAATTTGAAGTGCGGTAATTTTTTTTAACCTAACTTTTCTACGGTTTTTCTCGATTAATATGAAAAATAATTCGGAAATCAAAAAAACGAATCACATTGTCAGCACAAGATTAATAATTAAACAAAAAAGGTCTCTTGTGGATTCTCAATTGGAAGCTATAATTATGCTAAAAAATGTGATAGGTACATATTTAAAATAACGGAATCGTGAAAAATCGTATATTTTTTTCTGAATAGTTATTTTTATTTTAAAAATAATTTCGAAAATTGAAAAATGACCAATGTATTTACCAAGTAGATGAAATTTATTTCCAAAAAAAGTGCCACATTTATACATCCGATCAAGTTTTTTAAGATAAAAGAGGTCCACAGTATAAAAAGATTCAAGTTCCTACGTGTATTTATAACCGAATTACAGAAAAAAAAATTCTAAAAAATTAAAATTCCTTAAAATCTCAAAGTGGCTCAAAAGTTTTGGTCATGATACCATTAGAAAGTAAATCGTAAAGACAACTAAAAAGGTATCTTGTGATTTTTCTATTAAATCATTTTTTTTTTGGTAGAAAACGTCGTCCGTGTTTTTATAAAATAATGAAATCGAGAAATTGTACGTTTCTCTACGTTTTATCCCACCTAAGTGACTTTTATTTAAAAAATGGAGTCGAAAATCAAAAAATGAAGTTTAAAGTAAAATTTAGACAACTTAAGATTTCAGAAAAGTTGCTACACGTAAAAATCGGAACAAGATTTTTAGGAAAAAACGTGTCCACACACTAGAACAAAGAACAAAGAAAAAAAAACAACACCTTAGTAAAACTAATACATTCCTCGTTCCACTTAGAATCTAAAAATAAACATAATAATTAATAAAATTATATAAAATTACAAATATTTCAAATGACATTGATGAAAATAACGGAATAGACGAATCAGGAGATTTTAATGTTAGTGAAATAGTTTATTTTAAATATGCACCGTAAGTGCTAATAGATGTAAACGAAATTTTTTGCAAAAATATTCCTGCAGACAGATGAACGACATTCTCTACTATTTGAAAATATTGATAATTTAGTGAAATTCTGATTTAATTAAGATAAATATTTGAGAATTATTTTAAAATATAATATAATATAATATAATATAATATAAAATATTATAAAATATAATAATAATATAATTTGTTTTATTAGGTAAAAAATTATTTTAAATGAAGAATGAGGTCTTTAATTACACTATTATTGATTTTGTTTTAATTCGATTAAAAATGTATTTCGGGACTTGAACATTTTGACAGTAAATTTATTTTAACCTTTATTGGAAATGGGAAAATTTTCAAAATATTCTGAAAATATGTTTTAATACTTTCTAGTTTTTTTTACAGTTTTTCAATGGTAGGTACTATGCGGTTTAAATTATTTATCTATCAAATATATTCGAAAATTTTAAACGATGTTCGTTATATATTGTACGTAGTGGTAAAAAACTTATGAGCGCTTTTTTTTTTTTTTTTAATAATTGTTCTAAGATCAAATTTTGATGAAAATCGTAAACATAACGACACCTCAAAACATGTATAAGTGTTTAACCGAACATCGCTCAGTATCCTATTTTGTTAGCAATATGTAAACAGGTATAAATTAAATAGAATATCCCGTATACATCAAAACAGTTGAACATTTATACATGTATACATTATTTATTAACTTGATATACTTGCGTTTAATTTTCTGCATAATAAATACATTTTAATAATATCGCAATTATCACCATAATAAACGAGCCTATTGAAAAAAAATGTACATATATTTATAATATATTATTAATTAATTATAAATAATAAATTTAAAAATTTTAATTTTTTAATTGATAGATTTGACATTCTATTTTATAAATGTTTAATAAGACGACATTTTTAGATTCTGAGTGAAACATCATTATTGGTTTCAAAATGATGATTTTATTGTTTTTTTTTTAAATTTCCCCTAGATATAAAACTTACTCTAATTAAAAAAATTACAAGAGACCTGTTTTGTTACACTTTATTACAGACTTTTTGGAAGAAATTTGTATTTATTTTAATTTTTTTAAGAATTTTTATTGTATGATATTGTTTACGAAAAATGTATTTTTATTATTTTTTTAGTAGTATTTATAATAATTTAGGAAAAACCTAGAAAGAACGGAAAAATTTACGAAAATAATGGTTTTATTATTTTAATTTGTTTTTTTTAATATGTAATTCAGTTAAAAATATTCTTAGAGATTGATATTTTGGGCAAAACTTGGATTTATTTTAGACGTGTTAAAATTTTGAAAAATTTTTAGCAGTTTTTAAGTTATTTATAAACATTTTAATTTTGCGATTTTTGACATGATTTTTTTTAGGTGCCTTGTAGATAAAATTTTTTGACTAAACGAAAATACTCGAAAATTCAACAGAAAGTTTATTATATGCTGTGATAAAAAATATCAAAAAATTGAGTTCAATGTAATATTTTTTTTTTATAATAACTTTAATATCAAGTTTTGACTTAAATTGAAAATATTACGATCTTTAAAAATATTTATAACCAAACTTTGCTCACAATTATGTTTAATTAGCAATGGTTTATCCTTTGCTTACGGATATAAATTAAATAACTTAGTATATTCTATTTTCTCAACTTCATATCTACAAAAGTGGAAATCCCACACCCAGCATCAGCACTTTTTTTCATATAATTTAATATTAATATGAAATAGAGTTGATATTGCTGATAAAAGAGTAAACTCTATTGTAGCTTATACTTTAACGGTGGCAAGTTGTGAAAGGAGTTATTCAATTAATATTTGTACGCAACGATAAATCATTGCTAACGGCAAACGATTTTGATTGAAATTTAATTAAATATATTTTGAAATGCTTTGATTTTTACGATTTTCCTCAAAATGTTAACACATTAACACCTTTTTATTTTGTTTTTTTTTTTTTACGAGCAAGATTTTTGGTAGAGAAGTACCTAACTATACTGCAGACACAAACGTTACAGAAAAAAAAAAGATCACACTTCATAGTAAAAACAAAAAATTCCTCGTTGTGCTCTGCAGTATTTATAGCATACGTTACATAATATATTCCAATACATTCGTTGTTATTCTAAAATATCTAAATATTTTTTATTATAAACAGCATGTCAATATGAACATTTTTTATATGAATACATTATACTGAAAAGTACTTTTTATTATAGAATGTGTATGATTTATCGTATAAAAAGCCTATATGGTGAAAATTTATTAAAGACGACAACTGTACCATATAAATGTGATTGCATAACTGTTATTTTCAAAAAAAAATTTACTATGTTTTTCAATTTTGAATACCTCTAAATAAATTATTGTCTTTAATTTTCATTATTATTATTTTTTAATGATTAGCTAACATTTCTAAGGGGACTTTTATGATTTTCTTCTGTTTTATGTGAATATTTTTTGAAAAAAATTTCACATTTACACAGTAAATACTCTTGACAAGGACCCGAAAACATTTCAAAAATATTTTCGAATTGAACAATTTTCATTTTAAAAAAATGTGTCATTGTAGTTGCCTATACGCAACCCCTTATTCAGTGACCTTGTTGCTTAATGCAATTTTACAATTAGACTTTTTAATGAGTGCGCGTATAATTTAATTGCAAATTAAGATAAAAGTATTTGAACCGAAATGACGTAGGTATAAAATTGACAGACTTGTAAATATTATTTATTCAAATAATAATTATGATACATTATTCAATCTCGATAGAGAAAATAATAATTATTAAAATAAATTATACTAATTATTAATTTTTTGCCGATTAATACCAAATGATTAAAATATAAGTGCTAATAAATTATTATGTACGTCGCAATACGTAATTGATTCAATTATATTCGGATATTGTTTTCGTATTTTTATTTGTGCGAAAAGTTCGCGGCAGACTAAAAGACACATCGTAATAAAGCAATGAAAGCTGTGAAAATAAAATACCGTCACCCCCCCTCCGAAAAAGTCAAAAACACATTTGAATTCCGATAAAATGTACTTAAAACTTACAAAAAAAAAAAAAAAAACTGAAATGTAATATTATCTTATGGATTATTTTAAAAATATAACACGGCAATATGACCATGGACTTGTTTAATGAGCCCTACTGCACTTCTGTACTTCGTAATAAAATGTTTTAAAAATAAACACTTATAGCCGATTGTTACGAGATGTAAATTTGAAAAAAAAAAAAAATCGAAAATCAATTTATTTATATACGAGTATACCTAAATTATATTATGTAACTCGAATTTCATAAACAAAAGCTTACAAATGTCTTATAAAATAAGCTAAATAATAAAAAAAAAAAAAATGCGTATTTTGCTATAGGAATTCATTGCACTAATTCTATTAAATACGTTACTTAAACAACATAAATTTGTATACCTAACGAATTTAAGAGGATGCCACACAACCGGAGGCACACCGAAATTAATATGTTTGTAGCGTCGATAATCGGGTGATATAGCAAAATTGTATTGGTCTATTAAAACATTATAAAATCAGTTTTAGAGATAAAACGCCTTTTATAAAATTGTTTATAAATTACAAAAATATCCGAAGAAAACATTACCTGCTTTTTAAAGTCTGTATGTATTCGGTCGAAAATATATTTTATAATATTAATATTGTGAAAAATATGACCTATGAGTTTGTCTTCGAAAAGTTGGGATCCAAAAAAGATATTTTGATCCATTTTATCATTAAACAGTGGCGTATTACGAAACAAATTTAACATAACGAATTAAAACGCGTTTCTGTTTGTTTTACGTATACTTACAGGTTTTTTGTTTTTTACAATACATTTTTCATAAGAAAGACTGTGCATAGACGGAAAATGCTGGTGTAGCAATGTTCTCTTTTAGCAGCTCGCGAAAAAAAATCATTGTGAATAAAAAACGATTCTGAATGGAGTGTATACTATAGTCGTATTTTTTTTTTTTATTCCTCGAAGCCAAAATAATCCGGAAATAAAAAAGATTACCTAGGATAATGAGAACCCTAGATAATTGTATATATACCTGTAAGCAACGATAAACCATTTCTTACGAAAAACGACTGTGAGCGGAGTTCAGTTGAACTCAGTGGTGCCTTGTCAACAATAAATATATATGTCATTTTATAGTAAAATAATTAAATAGGCCTTATATATTTGTTTTAATAATATTTGTTTAATGTTGTACCGATTTTCCCGGTTGTCCCGTGTTTTTTCCCGGTTTTTCAAGATTGCTGGGAAAATTCCTGAGAAAATCAAATTTTCAAATAAATTACTACTACGGGCGGAAAAATTAAGGTACCTATTGCGTAAATAATAATTTGGAGTCTTTTTTAACCGAAGTATTTCCTGAGGGGGAAAAGGTAAAAACAAAAAAATCTAAGAGGAAAGTGTTGAAAATGTTGATAAACGTTTCAAATAATGTACTACACGTCGACAATTCCGTATATTCCGAGGCATGATAAAATCGTATTTTGACGGAAAAGTCTTTGAAAAAAAAAAAAAAAACGATATGGCGAGAGCAAATTTTCCGGAAAAGTATTAGGAATTTCGAAAAATTGTTCGAGTTAAAGTACTCACCGTCGTCGGGCGAAAAATCCACATTTTTTTTATACGGTATCTGCACGTGAACTTATCGGGAGGGAGGCATGTATACCTGCCGGATAAAAATGTATTCCGAGAAGAACAAAAAACCAATTAAAAACTCACATCATTTACATAATAAATATTATACAGTGTACAATAAAACTGTATAATTATAGCTACTCAGCTACATGGTCGGAATCTACAACTAACTGTTAATCGATTTCGATTCAAACATTAATCGATATGGAAATTATGAACGCGCGCGAAAAATACGATTTGGAGAATATTTAAAAATAAAATCGCCCTCGGCGGCTGCCCGCCCCACTCGGATACTATGGTATTATATTATTATAATTTTATATTATATATACATATCTTAGGTATCTACAAGTTATACGTGGTTCGCGCCAAGAGAATATAAATTTAAAAAAAAAAACCCAGTACAATAATATTATCATAATATTGTGAAACGCGCGTACCGGATGCTTTTTTTCATGCATTTTTTTTTTCTTTTTAACGACTATGTGCCCCCGCGACATGCTTACTGTTTATATAATGTATATAGTTATACTATAAACCGATAAAATACTGTTTGTCGACCGCAGTCCGATCTAATTAACGACCGCGTGCGGTTATAGTAGCGCGGAAAAAAAAAAAAAATAAAATAAACACTCATGCTTACCTACTACTATATTATTCGATGTATGGGTCGTGTCCTCGGTCTCGTTTGCGGGATATAATAATAATTATTATTCGATCGATCGGCGAAAAAAAAAACAAATTAAAAATCTCGAGCGACTCGGTACGTCTGTATACGATTTTTACAGCTATACGGGCGGACAATAATAATGAACGAAAAAATGAAAAAGGGAGTAATATTGTATGTATGTATATCTGTATATAATATATCGTAATACTCGGTCGGGATCTCGGCAACGGCGACGGATCCGGTGAGCGGTGACGTTTCCTCGACGGCAACGGAAAACGATGTGTGCCGGCCAAAGTCGGCGCGTGTCGGGTCGACTATAATAATACGTACGACTCGTTTCTCGTTTTCGTATACACCTAGGTAAGTATGCGTTTTGTTTTGTTTTTTTTTTTTTTTACCGATATCATCCCCGGCCGGTAGGGGTCGCCGGATCGCTGTAAAACAAAAAAAAAAAAAACCGGTCGTCCGCGGTCTCCATATACGCGTATACTTAACGCCACGGTCTTATTCGGCGGCTCGTGGCTCGTGAGCGAGGGGGTAAGTGGGGGGATTAACCCATCAATTAACATGGTTTTTTTTTTCACATAAATTACGCCCGTAAAACATTTAAATTATGCATATTATACATATCACCGTTCGACGACAAACTGTTTTTTTTTTTTTTTTTACATTTTTTCAATGTAAGTATAATATTTATTTTCTTTTTGTAAAACTATCTCTCCGACTCAACGACGACGTCCGGTTCCCCCCTGTGCGCTTACGTTATACATAATATTATAATAACATATATTATTTTATATTATACTCTCACTCGGATTTGATTCGATGATATTTTATACAGATATTCGGTATTTTTTCTTTTTTACGATTTACATAATTTTATTATGTTCCACGCTCTAAATTATACGAGTATAATAGATATACTTATTATTATGATCATTATTACACGTGAATTTTTATGTCTTCGTCTTAAAAAAAAAAAAACCCTGTACGACCAATCATCAAACTTGGAAAATTAAAACATCGAAAAATCTTAATATACTGGAACTAACAGTCCGAAATCAGTTTTACTGAAAAGAAAACAAATGTATAACGTTCTCTTAAGATGACTTCACACGTAACACTGTAACAAAATTAATTTTAAGAAAGCTACAATTTACATACCAATAAAAACCTTTCATAAAAACTATACAAAAAATTGCTGGTGTATTAGCCCATATGGGTAAATGACTATATAAAAAATATTTGAAACACAAGTCAAGTAATAATATTTAACACTTAAAGTCCTAATAGTACTGCAAAAATATTATTAACATTTCATAATTTATATTACACATTTAAAAAAAAAAGAAAAACAATTTAATAGATATAATTAATATTAATATATAGTATATACAATAAAAAAAAATTGGTCTTATCTTAACCGCTTGAAAAATTCCGTTTTACCCCTCAAGAGGTAATTACCCCTAGGTTGGCAACCACTGGCTTAAGTAGATGGAAATTCTAAACATTTAACTGTAACGATATTTAAAAAGGATGATTTATCCGTTTAGTTTAATTATCTTAAATATGAATTTGTACAAATATATTATTATAATAATATATATTAATATATTAATTATAATATAATATATTATAATCAATATATTTTACTATATTATAGTAAAATAATTAAGGGTCTATATATTTTTTTTATAATTTCTACGTTTTACTCGGTTTTCCTGTTTTTTTTTTCGGTTTTTCACATTTGTTGAGAAAATTCCTGGGAAAATCGATAAACCACTTTTTTAAAGTGTCACCCAGTGGAATTTTCTGTTAGAAAAATTGCTGGTAGAAAAGTTGTCTACAGGAAAAACGAAGGCCATAATATTTTTAGCTAATAACTACATTTCTTCCATTTTTTTCATTTTTCGTATTTTTTGAGAAAATCGAAAAATAGCCTTTTTTATTAACTCCCCATACCGATTTCCTTTCAGAAAAGTTGATAACGCGTAAAACTCAGAACAAGTGCTCTATTAAAAAAGTTATTCACAGAGAAAAAAAATACAATTCTTCGTTAGTTTTAATCGTTTATAATACAACGTAATTGTATAATTATGTGTATTGTCTCTTTTTAAAATGTACATTTCGATTATTTAGCTGTATTAGTATTTCGTCAATATATAAGTATATAAGTATATAATATACAAGTTATTATATTCTTAGTTTCTATACGTATAATATGATATAACCATAATGCCAGCGGGCAAAACAATGTTATTTTATTGAAACAAACCGGATAAAAAAAAAATTACTACACGCGCGTTCCAAGCTCGTAATATAATAGTAAGTACCTACGCTCGTATTCCGTGCAGTCGTTTTTATCTCAAACGTTCCGTGCTGTTTTTATTATAAATTATTTTAGAGTTTTTTTTCTACAGGTATATATTGTAATAGAGTTTTTATTTAGTGTTTTATAGAACTCATATCCGAACCGAATAAAATAATAATAATACGCGGGAGTAGTAGTTCTGAGTGGTACCTACGTTCATCGTTAAACATCCGGATTACGAGATAGAGGATTACTAATATATTATAATATACACATCCGAGTAAGTTATATGTAACAAATCTAGACGTATCTTTAACCGTAATTCAAGTTATAGATTTTAAGTACAGCGAGGAAAGTTTTAGTTTCACTCTAATGTGTGTTTTAAATTCGAATCGGAGCGATTTATATATTGGTTTTTAATATGATGTGTGATTTTTTAAAAAAATTTTAAGGAATTTTAACTTGTTATTGCATTAAAGAGGTCGCTTTTTGATTTTCCAAGGGATTTTAAAAATAATTTGGAAAAGTTGAAAACAAAATTATAGGTAAAACAACTAATATTAAAATGTTTACACTTTATGTTTTTTACCAGAAATACAATAAAAGAAACAGACATAATTCACACGATTGGTGCAGCCACTGTTGTTGGTGAGAAGTTGGGAAGGTAGAATAAAGAGGAGAAATTAATTTGTGTTTGTAAGCAACAATAAACCATTGCTAACGAAAAAACGATTCTGAGTGGAGTTTAGTGGTTAGTGATGCTTTGTCAACAATATTATATATGTCATATTATGGTAAAATAATAACATAATATACATTATATATTATCTTTATTTGTATATTTAATATTGTATTTATTTTCCCATTTTTCCGCTATTTTCCATGTTATTATTAATTATTGGGAAAACTCTTGGAAAAACAAAAAAAATGTCTTCTATAAAGTACTATTCCAGTCAGATTTCCGTTTAGAAAAAGTCCTGTCTTTGGAAATCGACACAAAATATGCTAGTAGAAAAATTGTTCACAGGAAAACAAACGGCTGAAATATTTGTTAATTAATACTAACATTTGGTACATTTTCCCATTCTTCATCCGTTTTTCCAATAGAAACTAAAATGATTTCTTGTTTTTTTTTTTCAAGTAGGTTTTATGATAATTAGGAAAGCTGGAAAAAAAACGTTTTAAGTTTACGGCATAAACGATTCCATACTCTATTTTATTTTGTTCTGGCTATTATTGAGCTTTTTAATTGGTTCTTTTTCATTTTTTTTTTTTTTTTTTTTTTGTATTTATTTGGTTTTAAGTGAACAAAATTGTTTGATTTCAGAATCAGAAATTCTTGAAAATTAAACATGATTTACATTATGAGCTGTACTTAGTGGTAAAAAATATCATCAAGTCGAGCGCAATTTAACCTTGTATTTTTACTTTTTTCTTTCATTTTTAGATTCTGAGTAGAGCGAACAAATTTTCTACCAGAGATCTTGCTCCGATTTTTAAATGTAGCACATTTTCTGAAAGGAAAACGGTATTGGGAAGTACTTTAGGGAAGTTATTGATCGATTTTTTTGGGTGTTTTCTCATAAAATGTGAAAAACCGAAAACAAAAGCAGGAAAAATGGAAAAATGTACGAAATGTAGGTATTGGTTAAAAATATTACAGCCTTTTATCCTGTGAACCACTTTTCTATCAACAATTTTGTTCCGATTTACAATGATAGCACTTTTTTTGAAAGGAACTCTGACTGGGAAGGTACTTTTCGATTTTATTAGTTGTTTTCTCGATAAATTTGAAAAACCGAAAAAAAAAACTGAGGAAAAATGGGAAAATCGGTACATTAAATAAATATTATTAAAGAAAATATATAATGCCTATTTAATTATTTTCCCATAATATGACATATATATTGTTGACAAAGTATCACTATTCACTAAATTCTGCTCAGAATCGCTTTTTCGTTAGCAAGGGTTTATCGTTGCTTACAGGCATACATTAAATTACTTATAAGTTATAACAGTGGCTGCACCCGTCCCCTAAGACTTTTTTTTTTTATATATATGATCTCATCAAAAACATTTCGAATTCTTAATACTTATATACACCGCAGTAGTTCACCGTATTAGTTTCTCTCACAACACTATGTTTATCGAACGATTTATCATTCGCTTTCAAATTTATACAACATGAAACTGGCTTGAGTTGTAATGCGGCGGTTCGTCGTAACCAAGTAGGTATAGTCACATAGATATAACAGGTCATCTATTACACATCCGGTTCAGTCTTTTTTTTTAAATTATTACCGAAAACAAATATGCTGATGTATATGTATAATACAGACTCCAATAAATTTAGGTACTATTATGTTCTCGTGTGACCCTGTATAAAATATTCGTGTTTTAAATATATAACCGAATATACGCTCTTGTAATATTATATATGTATATAATGTAAGGTGTTACTGATATTGTTTTTTTTTATTCTTGTCCCTTTAAAATTAAAAAAAAATAATTTCTTTAATTTTTACAGAATTTTATTTCATCTCCTGAGTCTCCTTGCTTACATATTTTATTAGCTAAAAAGTGGGTTCATATCTGAATAAAATAAAATTTGACGAGATATTGTAAAGAAACTATCATGAAACAAAATGCTGACGTTTTATTAGGAGATCACTTGTTTTTTTGTTTTTTTTTTTTGTTGTACAATTGCGATTAAATAAAAACGTCCAGAAACAATCATGATGAAATTTTAACGTGGAAGCGGGTAGACCGAAGAGAGCGTTATTCAAATCTCAATCAAATTTCAAATTTTGTTTTCAACATTTCCATTCGAATAACATTTAAATACCACTCTAATATATATTATTATTTTTGTTGTATATTATATACACACAGTAATCAATATAACATAAGACACTATTATTATTTCGGAAAATATCAACTTTTTCCAAAATTTGTTTAT